CGGTGTAGGGATACGGTATTGATGTCAGGTCACAGGCGGCTAATATTCATGATGTTAGACGTGCGCCGTTATGGCCTTATTCATAGAACATTTTTACTACCAAAGCAGATTTTTATATGTTTACCGTAACTGAAGTGAGTAGAATTCCTTTTTTTGTTTGTCTATAGAAAACTCTTCTCTTTTACTTAGCTATTTTTGCTTTTTTTTTCCCGATTCACTTTTTTGCTTATTTTTATATATTTCTATATATATTATAAGTTGTTGTTGTTTTCTTCGCTCACTTTACTTTAATGTTTGTTACATTTATGTTTTGATGACTTTACGTGGCATAAAATATTTTCTTGCTTACTATCATCCATCATCCACCCTGAAGCACTCACCTTAAACGAACTTTTGCGTTCCCAATCTGTATAGCTATGAATGGATATCTATTTCTGCATAGCCTTATTAGATACAAAGATATTTATTATTATTATTCGAAATGGAAGCATTCATTCCACTTTCGAAGTTCTCTAACCTACATTTACGTCTTACATAGTAAAATAGATAATATTTGTTATATGTAAATATTTATTTAATATACCTACATATATATATATATATGTTTGTTTTCATCAACTTGATGTCATGTTGGCTATTGGGTGCGCTTAACTATTTAATTAACTAAATTCCCTATTGCGTTTCGCAAGAATGCAAATGAAAGGAGGATTACAATGTTCTTGTAAAGCTTATGACCTGTAGTCACTTTTATGGAATTTCAAGGTTTTTGATGAGATAATTATGAAAAATAGATAACATAACATAAGAAGTAAGAGAAAAAAGAAAATTGAAATTTTTTTAATTAAAAAACTTTGTTGAAAAACTTTTTTAATTTAAATTCTTTATCCCAAGCCCTTGATTGAATTGTAAATTTTAATAAATTTTGCATTAATTTACTGAGAATCTGAGAATTTTTTTATAGAAAAGTGAAAACAAATTGAATCTATTCCTATACAGAATTCCTTTCCAGACTTGAAAAGCATTCTACCAACATTTTTGAGAAGAGATTTCAAGATTAATTAAGATGAAATGAATGCGCAAGGCAAACGTAGTCCCACAGATCGATAAACTTTCAATTCGAGTTGCATGCCTTGACAATAAAATGTCTCCGATGTTTACTTTTGAACATCAAAACACTATCGTCGTATCACTTGCATTCTTAATATTGTGTTTGTGTGTAGATTTAAGAGCCCGATCTATACATAGCAAAGAACAGGTGGATTTCAACTGCTGCTAATGACAACCCCACACACAAACTTTCAAACAGAAAATCTTATTTATATGGTTAAAACATTTTAATGCGTTCTTTATTGCATCCTTCTATAGATTGTGTTGTCTGTTAAGCATGAACTAGACAAGAAACAAATCATAATTGGCTTTGATCGAACTTTATTGCATCTATTTAATTTAATTATTTGTGTTTGTAGTAGTTTTTCATTTTTATTTTTATTTATATTTTTTTTATTTTTTTTTTTATTATTTTTAATAAACTGACGAGCGGTACGTTAATATATACCCACTTTTTATATCGTATGACAAACATAATTTGGACAAAATCCGACCTAGTGGCCGAGTAGGCAAAGAGTCTCTACTAGCAACTCAATGGTCGTGGGTTCAAATCTCAAATGCGGTAGAGATTTTAATAAAGCCGATAGCCTTAGATGCTAGTGCTTCAAGACTTTAGTCTTAGAATTAATTCTCTGCCCAAATTAATAATAATGATAATAAAAATAATTTGCTTAACTCGCTTGACTATTTAATATAAGAAAGCTGATGAGTAAATCTAATAAGTTAATGCAGAAATTTGTTAGATGAATAGTTTTGAAAAGTGTTTTCGAAATTATTTATAATGTTATTGACAAATTTATAACTAATTTTACATCTTCGAACGCGCAAATCGATAGAAATAGTTTTTGAATTCACCATAGGCAACTTTTCTTATTCAAGCCTAAAAGTCATTATAACTAACTTTTGAACTTAAAATCTTTGGACGAGTGTAATAAGTTTTCCAAGTCTATGGAATGGTAAAAATAATTTTTGAATTTCAAACTCATGCACATCGCTATGTCATTCTTTGAATTTCGAAATTTTGAATTGTAAAAACCTGCGGAATTTCCAATCTGCGAATAAACAGAAAAAATGTTCGAATTTTAAAACTTATGGATTGCTAGAAATAATTTTTGGATTTCGAATTTATATATGACCGAATATATAATTCAGTTTTGATTCCCAAATCTATAGATAACCAAAAATAATTAGATAGAATTGCTTAGTTCCAAACATATGACTCACAACCAATAATACCCACATTCTTCTCGACAAAGTTCTCACGAGCATAAGCCTATATGCCTTGTCAATAATTAACAAATCATGGGCAAAAAGTAACACACCTTCAAATAAGTAACGTAACTTAAGGAAGAGACAATATACC